GGGTACATCATTCCAAAATTTCCTAAGTACGATGGTGTGAAAGACGATGCTGATGAGCACTTGCAAAGGTTTGTAGAGTCCTTAGGCCAGCACAGCCATGACGAAGTCCTGCGCCTCAGGGAATTTTCCAAATCCCTCACAGGGCTCACATATAGGTGGTTCAAAAGCCTCGAACCAAACTCGATCACTTCCTGGCAGCAACTCTCAGAGAAATTCTATGCAAAGAAGAAAAGTGGCCAATCAATTACAATCGAAGAGGACATGCCTGTTTCCACTAGAACAAGGAACAAATCTAAAGAGAAGGGGATATGACTAGATGATGAACTATCTAGGATATCTAGCACAAAGATTTGGCTTACAAGTATGAAGAGCAAATCGCAACACGAACTGCGACGAGACATGCTCTAGCCTCCATCAACCTCCTTATAGAGATTTGGACCATAACTCGGGGCTTTTTATATCTTCATATTCAACTTAAACTTCATGTAACAAAAAAAAAAAAAAAAAAAAAAAAAAAATCCTTATTGCATGTCAATTTTTTATTTTAGTTGTTGCAAGTTCTTTTCTTTGTGTAATTATCTAGATGAGATGTAATTTAGGCACCGTATAATAATTATTATATATGGAACGTACATTGTACGGGCGTGGCGTTGTAATAAACACATATTATATTTCAACCATTTTACAAAGTTATTTATTTTAAATTTTATAGATTTGAATTACTTAGCATTATGTTTTAGTCTTAACACCCCCCCCCCCCCTTTATTTTAAATTTTATAGATTTGAATTACTTAGCATTATGTTTAAGTCTTAACACCCCCCCCCCCCCCCCCCCCCCCACCTCCCGGGCCCCCAAAGGCGGGTGTTTTTCTTATGAAATTTTAGATGACCTAAAGTTATGTTCTTTTACTAAACAAGTTATATTCTGAACGAATTTATACTTATATTACGTTTGGAAGCACCAAATTGATGCTTTGGACAACGCTTTAATTCAAACTTCCCTAAAGATATAAGTAATATCATTGAACTATATCTAAGCAAAAGCACTTGCTAAAAATTAGTGTTCGGTTGCATGGAATTACAACCTTGGAATTGGTGAAATTTGAGAAAAATAATTAAGAAAATTGAACCAAAATTTTCTTAAATTCCACAAATTTCAATTCCAAAACTCTAATTCCATGCAACCAAATACACCTTTATAGTCTAATAATTGTTATGGCTTGAACTGAACTTCTTGATGCAAAAAAAGATATATGCGGATAATGTTCTAGATTCATATTGCCTCAAGGGCTTCAATTTAGTGGTACTTTTTTATCTTCCAAAGTAAAAAGTGGAGGGCAGGGGCGGAGCCAAGAATTTTACTTTGAGGGGGCTGAATTTGTATTATGTAATTAAAATTTAATATATTATTTAAACCAAGTGTAATATAGTTTTGTTCATAATATATAGTCATATTAATTACATATATCTTACAAAAATCCAAAAATTGGAGAAAAAAAAAACCTACCTTAATTAATTTTTCTTTAGAAATTGTTATAATTTTTTAAAATTTAATTTTTGAAAAATCATTTTGAGTACTTTGATTTGCTTAATATATATATATATATATATATATATATATATATATATATATATATCATTTGTAACAACTCTCATCATACTCAGACACAATATTGTTTGTTTTTGGCTCTCCTAGTCTAGAGACTTCTAGGAAATCACCCATTCTGGTACTACTCCAATGGTAAACACGCTTAACTTTGGAGTTTTGATAGGTTCACGGTCATTATGGCTTTAAAACGCATTGTGTCATAAAAGGATGTTAAACCTACATATAACACTTTACCTTCCTAGACGATGTGAGATCATGGTCTGTCAGTGTGGTAGCATGTCAAGTGTCTTGTACCTGTCCATAGAGATCGTCACAATCACCCCCTGTGGAGCCCAACGTCCTCGTTGGCCACACCTTCTACTGGGCTTCAGCTCTGATACCATTTGCAACAACTCTCACCCTATCCAAATACAATATGGTTCGCTTTTGGTTCTCCCAGACTTGAGACTTCCCAGAAGGTCACCCATCCTAGTACTACTGCAGAGTAAGCATGCTTAATTTTGGAATTCTGATAGATTCATAACTTTAAAACGCATTATGTCATAAAAAAGTATTAAACGTATATGTAATACTTCACCTTTTTCAGGTAATGTGGGATCATGACACCCTATAACCAACCAGTGTGATAACTCATATAGTGTTTTGCACCCACCCACGTCACTAAATTATTACTTTAGTAACTTAGACAAGGAGTAGTTATACATATTGTCATTTAGCAAGTGACAATTTAAAGTATTAATATATTTTGGGCTTTCTTCCTCGTGTCCTATGCTCCGATGCTGGTTGTTTGAATGGCAAATGCTCGCTTGGGGTGGGTGGGGTTTCTTATTTATTTATTTTGGGCTTTGTTTTGGGCCTTGTTTTTAGCCGTTGGGCTTGTTCTTTTTTCTTTGGGCTGGTGCCCTTTCGTGTACATTTTCCCTTATTTATAAATTTATTTACCCAAAAAAAAAAAAAAAAAATACCTTCACAAAAATACCACGTAGCATTCAACTCTTCTACTAAAGCTTTCTTCCTCTCATTAGTTAAATTCAGTACACCATTGATTTTCTTTCCAATCACAATTCGGCGCCCACATTCACTTTCCATTCACACACAACACCAGTATGCACCTACACTCCTTTCGTAATCTCATTTAATGGAATCAATTTTTTTTTTTTTTTTTGGGTGTACTGTTGTTATGCAATGGAAAGGTTGGAGATATAAAAGAAGAGTGGAGTGACCTTATGGATTGAACCCAGTACCTCTGAGATGATTTCCACCCTACTTTGAATATTAAAAGGATTTCGATGCATGAATTGAAGCACATATATGAAATATTTGAATCGGGTCGATTTATGTAAAAATTATCTTGAATGAGAGTAAACCAAGAAATAAGCTGAAAGTCAACAAGACGCTGAACTTGCTAACATGCATATTTAATGCTTTTTAGATCAATGTTGAGCTAGGTTCAATCGTCGTTAAATTGTGCAGTCAGCGAAAATGAAGTCATGAACTCATCAAGAATCAAACGATTGAACAATGACAGACACATAATAGTTAAGTATTTAGTTAGAACTGACAAACTTATGATCAATGAAAAAATCTATAATTGACGATATTACGATACTAAGTAAGAAATAAGCTAAGGAATGAAAAGTGATAGACCTTACTCGATCTTCTCTTAGTCGTGACAATGTCAATAACTATACTAACAGGCCTGTGGCCTAGCGGTCCTAGGCCTTTACTTCTCAAAAAGAAGTCAGGAGTTCAAATCTATATGTATAAAAATACCAACTAAAAAAAAAATTAAGAAAAAATTTTATTAATAAATCCCAACAAAGAAAATATGTGGAATTTGAGTTTGCTTTATAATGGACACTTGTGAAGATGAATGGGAAGCAGAGACAAATACATTCATATCAATTGGGCTCAAAGAACATATTCTGTCCGCTCATCTACACTGCACAATTATTGACGTCATGTGTGACGTTGCATAAATTGTTTGTTTTTAATGTCACCATCCCAAGTGGGAAATGGAGAAACTCGAGTGTTGAAATCGAAAACGTAACCATTAACGAAAAGCTAACATTCCTAAACTCGTCTAAAATCTTTTAGATCAGGAGATGTCTCTCATGTCCCCATGATCATAAAGTTACCACTCTATTTAGCTTAGCCTTGATATAATCTTGTCCTAAGAGAAATTCTAAAATATGTTCGGGTATGTTTACATTAGGTATTTCTTCGTACTGAAATATTTTATTTTTATTGACAATTGACGGATGAAACTTTGAAAGATAAATAAAGAATATTTATACGGAGGAATATCAACATGCTAACGTCTTAATATACTACTTAGCTAATTCTAAGGAGTTGGCTCCAGTAATAAAATCCTAAAACTCAGTGCCTCATGAAGTATAAAGTTTCAGATTTGAATCATTCCGAGTGTGATCAAATTCCTTAGGAATTAATAATGATTGCGAATATAGTCTCTCAATTCTTGTGGAGGGGTCGATGTAACAACTAGGGTTGCAATTTGGGCGGGTTAGGCGAATTTGAGATATAACTTGAGTCCAACCCACCATATGAAATATTAAGTCCAAGTCCAAGCCCAACCCATTATTCTATTTTTAAATTCGGGCTTCCAACTCGGGGTTAGATTTAGGGTTAAAACTTCGAGTTAATTGGGGTTATTCGTATGACTAATTTTTATACTGAAAATTTAATATAATCTTAAATTAGTTTTAGATTAAATTACTCTTAAACAATAAAAAGTTTAAAGATTTTTTGTAAAATTTTAATAAATTACAAACAAATTTTTAGAAAATTAGTTCTCCTAAATATTAATATACAATAAGTTAAGATTTAACCAAAAAAAAAAAGTAATAATAGTTTAAATATTATATATAATGTATTTTAAAGTAAAAATATATATGAAAATAATATTAGAATTCGAGTTTGGGTTGCTAACATTTCAACCAAAGCCCAACTCCAATTAAATACAGATTGAAATTTTTTAATCCAAACTAATCCTAATTATAAAAATAATTGTTCAAATCCTTAAAAAATAAAACTGAACTCAAATTGAGTTCAAATTAACCGTCCAAATTACACCCCTAACTAACAACATATTCACATGGCAACATAACAAGGTCAGATAAAGTAGTGTGTTAATTCATTTCTAGGAGTTTGGGCAAAGGAAAATAAGAACCACTTTATCTATTACGGAAAGGAAATGGCTAGCAAATTGTCAACCTTTTCAACTAGACGGGCCCAAAGGAAACATGGTTAGTGGGGTTAATTTGGTGTTTTCAAACAACCTGCTTTGACACGTGTCACACCCACAATGGCCAACAACCATTATAAAAGACCTACTACATTCTACTAGTTTTGCACAAAAGAGAGTCCAAAGATGTCCACTAAACACTTGCTAGTGTTGTTCCTTGCTGTCGTGGTTCTCACCACCGCCTCACTAGCCGACCACCACGAGCCACCTGAACATGGTGGACACAAGCCACCCACTTCCGGAAACAAGCCGCCCCCGAAACACAAGCCACCAACCCCAGAAGACACTGACGATAAGAAGCCAATCCCAGAACACAAACCTCCCAAGGAAGAGAAGCCACATCCAGGACATGATAAGCCACCATTTCATGGACACCCTCCGGTGGTGAATGTTGAAGATGCACACAAGCCGCCACAAGGCCCCAAACCAAAGCCGCCTCAGAAGAAGCCACCAAGCGGTGGCAAGCCTCCTGCCACAGGTTCCAACTGAGAGATGGACTGATCACTTTGTTATAGATAGAAATAAAACCAGTTGTGATCTGCTGGTGTATGCTTTCTTAGAAAGTGTCAGTTTCTATGTATGAGCTAGTCATAACTAGTATTACTACTACTTGGATCGTCTTGTTGTTATTTACTACTCACTTTGTGTATGTGTATCTTTGGTTGTAGCTAATGGGCATGTATGTGCTCTTTATCAATGCTGCTTATATAGGCATATATTAATACTAGCTCTACTTTCAGTTTCTCATCTCTAATTCTGTTTATGAAATCTTCACTTATGAACATGGTCGTAAAGAGTTACTAAATCATAAGATGTTAGTATAAGTTAAAAGAGCAATGCTATCATGAGTTGGATCTCATGATACTAGTCATGGACTCTCTTTTTAAGTTCACACATTTTGAACTAAAAAAATAATGCACAAATTATATTATTGCGTAGACAATATTAAAGTGACTCCATTGTAAAAAAATCAGCTCAAAATGTCATAAAATAAAAGTACTTGTATATGAGATGGTTAAAGATCGACGATGGTTTAATTTGTTCAAATAAAATAAAATGAAAGAGAATATAAAAATTTGACTAATTCGTGTGATGTATTGTTGATGAATTTTTACATGAAATTTTGATCATGTAATCTTTTAAATATTTGTCCATGATCATAAAAAAATGATAGAGAACTTATGACAATTGCCATGAGATCAACCTCGTGAAAACGATACTCAAAATAAGATACAGACTCGGGCAATCATCCAAGCCAAGCGCTAAGATGACTTTTGGCTAAAATGATGGGATTCGATTTATGTCCATCTTATAATAGAAGTGGCGAATTGGGACAGAAATACGTTGAAAACTAGAAGAACAAGAAGATTAATAAGTGATGGCATAATCAATTTATCTCTAAGCAGTATTTCTAATAAAGCTAATTGCAATGTAAAAGTACATCATGGCGATTTGCTTGACTAATGAGTATATGGTTGATTTTTTCGGGAAAGGGATTGAGACATCCTAGGAAGAGAATAAATATTTTCTTATTTTTGTTCAGTTAGGTGAAATAGAATGAAAAAAATTGACAAATTAATTTGATTAGTAGGATAAAAGAAAAGATAAAGATAAATTTTTAAGTTATTTTTACATTAAAATCATCACTACTTTATTTATGATGTTTATTAAATATTTATGAAGGGTGATATAATAATTTAAAATTTTTGTAATAAGTTTACTTGTCTTTTTTTAAAAATTTTAACTTATATTTGGACGGATAAAAATTTATAAAGTAAAAAGAAATTTATTTTTTTCTTCCTATTATTCGTCACTTTCTTATATTATTTTAGCGGAACGAAAGCAATTTATCTTACTTTCTAAAGCAATTTATCTTACTTTCTATCGCCAATTCTTTCTTTATATCATCTCAATCAAACGAAAGAAATTTACCACCAAAACCATAAGAACAAATAATAAAGTAGACAAACAGAGTAAAAAGCTAGTGCATGTTTTAACAGAAAAAGGAGTATAAAGAGAACAAATTCACTAGTGCAAGTGTCATAAAAGATAGACTAGCTAGTGAAAGCGACAACCCCGAAACATGGATCGAAAGCGAGCAACCACCAAAGAACTAGAAAAAAAATAGACAAAAAAGAACACATAGGGCTCACAACTCAAGAGTTTAAAATAGTGTCAAATAAATCCATGAGCAACTGAAAAGCATCCTTGATGGAGACAAGGCAAGCTTAATGACATACATAGCTGTGAAATTAATGTTTTCCTCCTCGCGCTTCTAGCAGCCAAGTTAACAATGCGTGATATTTCTCGATTTTAGAATCACAGGTGATTAAATCCGAACACAGAATATAAGAAATATCAAATAATTAATATTTAAACAATGTATCTGCATCAACACAATCAAGCTGTAAGCCTGGTACTGACGAACACCTGAAAAATAAGAGTGGGTCAGGCCTACATGCAAGTTCCAACCTACTATAATCCATACATAAACCCGATACACAGATACATCCTAGATAGCTCGGCAATATCTAAATAGTCCGTAAATATAAATATATCCACACTACAAGACTTCCCTAGACTACAGGTCTGTCTCAACCTGACTAGCAGACCTAGCAAGGCACACATCAAACCATCATAGCCAGTGATGCATCCCATTTCATATACGCTCCCTAACCATCGATCCTGAGACTCAAGCTTATATCGTAGTAACATAAATATATATATAAATTTCATCTAAAACCAATGAAGTGCCGCTCAACTGTTCATTGCCAAGACACGACATTTACTTAGAATTTAAATGTTTCAATTAAATCCCTATCCTTCCTACTGCAGAAAAATATAGAGCAAACATCCGTTATGTCGTTCAACTGTTTTAGTTGACTGGACATGAATCCATCTAGGATTTAACTATTTTAGTTAATCCATTCCTTACATATGAAGAGGTAGAACTTAGCTTTTTGATCTAATCCATCTTTGATATGCCACCGTCCCATACCGGTGCATATAATGCATATGATCCACAAATGATGCACACTCAAATGAACATCAAGTATATCCAGAAACCAGCATAATAGAAATCATATATTATTAAGGTCCTATCATGCATCCAGTATATGATTATAATCATACAACTTTCATTTAAATTGTTAAAGCATTGATAGACAATTTAAACCATCCATATCCATCTAATTAACAAAACAGAAATTTCAACAGTTCATCAATTAACATTCACATCATGGAATAATGACCATCAGAAATTTGAACTGAGCATATTATACTAGACATCCCTAACCATACTCTCATGCTAGTTCATTTAAATTATTAAAGCAAAGACTAGTAATGGAAGTCCTCCTCAATCCCTGACGGCATGAAAATTATCGTCTTCATTACATGACGTCCTTTTAATCCTCCATCTTAAAACCTGTGCTTGATATAATATGACACTAAGAAGTCTCATTGCACATTATATAAAACCCCAATGGTATTTTATACTTACCCAAGTAAATTGGTTAAAACAAACCGGCAAATAAAAGCTCATCCACTCCTAACAGCATGCAACCATGTATTTAAATTACATGACGTCCACAACCACAACCCAACCAACCCTCTTGGAATTTAAATATATCATAGATATATTTGACATAAAATCCTAAGAATACCTGTTATCTCAGTTCATTGAATTTGCTAAAACAACTAGCAATTCAGTCTTCCTTTCTCTTCCTCCGGACAGCATGCACACTAATATGTTTATGTTTCATGAAGCCCCTTAGGATTAGCACCCAAGCATAAACCAACTGCTTAAAGGTTTTAATAGATGAATTTTTAAGTATTTAGAACCCCCTTTACTTTCCAGAAATCACCTTTAAGTCCCTGAAACCATAAAACTATCGAAAAAACACCCTGTAGGGCATTTTTACAAGGGAGCCGGCTCCCCTATCATAGGAGCAGGCTCTTGCACTTCTAGAGCTGGCTCTCCCTCATGGAGAGCTGGTTCTTGCTTCAAGGGAGCCAGCTCCCTCACTTAGGGACCTGGCTCTCTCTCCCTGAGAGCCCGCTCTTCCGTCTCCGACCTTTGTCTTCGCTTCCGGCGCAATTCCAGTCATCCGTCCCACCTTTGTTATAGATTTTTTAAAACTTCCTAGAGTTCAATTTACATCCACAAAGTCCTAGAACCTTCTCACATCCCCTTAGGATTTGATTTACAGAAGCATAAATCCTAGTTGTAACAGTTGAAGCAAAGAACAATTACAGAAACACAAAACTTAAAAACAAATTTTAGCTTGGTTCATTATGCATAAATATTTGTTTTAAATTTTAATTACATTCCTGGAGTCTATTTAGAATGCACAGAACACAAGTTTATAGGAAAGAGATAGACTAAAACTTGCCTTAAGATTCCGGTTTGAAACCTTCAATGCCGTCTCCAAGTTTTAGAATTCTCCCAAACTATTCCTTCCTCTGATCACTGTTCCATTCCTCTATTGCTTCTTGGTTCAATCCAGAAGCAACCCCTCTGTTCTTTCTCCTTTAGCCTCATAGATTTTCACTCGAGACCTCTCTGTTTTCCTCTCACCCCTTCTCTCTGTTTTTCCTCTCAAGACTCTAGTACGTGAATAGGATGTTTTCCCTCTCTAGATTTCTTACGGGCATAGGGTTTCTCCAAACCCTTGTAAACACAAACTATTTTATATATATAGACTCATGCAAAACCCTAATCCTAATCCCAACCTACTTACCCGTCGGCTACCCTAATTACATAAACTAAAACCCTAAACTTAAAACATACGCAACACAATAATAAATAATTACATCCATTACAATTAAATAAAACCAATAAATAAATACAATTAACAGATTAAATAAACCAAATAAATAATTACAATTAACCAATTAAATAAAACAAATAAATAATTACAATTAACCAATTAAACAAAACAAATAAATTCACACTATATCAACTAAACAAATAAAACACACAAGTCACATAATTAAATAAAAATGTTATAAAAATCAAAATTAAATTCTCATTTTATCCTTTTGAAAATTAGGGGTATTACATTCTCCCGCCCTAACAAAAGGAATTCCGTCCTCGGAATTCATGAAACTCTGAATTAATGACTTTGCAAAATTCATTTCCGTTTTCGTGTGGCACAGCCGCTTTAGATGAGCTCCACCAAATTTCCAACATATCCAACAATATACTAAGTTTCTATGTATAAGAAAATAGCATAAATGTACAACTCCTAGGTTGTATCTATCAACGATTCCACACTACCCAATATTTAGCGAAGGGTAACAATCCCTATTCCTCCAAGTTCCATAGAACAAACGTAGAAAAGTCCGATGCATCCAGCGCTTAACAAGTTGGTAACGTTATAGTATAGGCAACTGCCTAACCTGATTAACGAAATTTGTGAAAAGTTAGTGTAATACATAAAACTGACCTTTCTCCAAAACACATCGCTTCCTATACAGAAGTCCTCCCA